AGTTTCTTTACCTATTTGTATTCCTTTTATTTCTTCTTTTTGCCTAATTGCTCTGACTAGGAATTCCAGCACTATGTTGAACAGGAGTGGAGGTAGTAGGCATCCTTGTCTTGTTCCTATTTTTAGGGGAAATGGTTTCAGTTTTTCACCATTAAGTATGATGTTGGCTGTAAGTTTGTCATATATAGCTTTTATAATGTTGAGGTACTTTCCTTTTATTCCTAGTTTTCTTAGAGCTTTTATCATAAAATGGTGTTGGATCTTGTCAAAGGATTTTTCTGCATCTATTGAGATGATCAAGTGGTTTTTGTCTTTGCTTCTATTAATGTGCTGTATTACATTTGTAGATCTGAGGATGTTGAACCACCCCTGCATTCCTGGGATGAAACCAACTTGGTCGTGGTAAATGATCTTTCTGATGTGTTGTTGAATTCAGTTTGCCATTATTTTATTGAGTATTTTTGCATTGATGTTCATTAAGGAGATTGGCCTATAATTCTCCTTTTCGGAAGTGTCTTTGCCTGGTTTGGGGATGAGTGTAATACTGGCTTCATAAAATGAATTAGGCAGTTTTCCTTCCCTTTCTATTTTGTGGAACAGTTTAAGGAGAGTTAGTATTAGTTCTTCTTTAAATGTCTGTTCAAACTGAGCAGAGAATCCATCAGGTCCTGGACTTTTCTTTTTGGGAGATTCTTTATTGCTGCTTCAATTTCATTTTGTGTTATAGATCTATTCAGGTGATTAATGTCCTCTTGGTTCAATTTTGAATGATCATAAATATCTAGAAATCTGTCCATTTCTTCAAGATTTTCAAATTTATTAGAATATAGGTTCTCAAAGTAGTCTCTGATGATTTTGTGGATTTCCATGGTGTTAGTTTTTATATCCCCTTTTGCATTTCTGATTTTATCGATTTGGGTTTTTTTCTCTCCTCATTTTAGTCAGGTTTGCCAGGGATCTGTTGATCTTGTTTATTTTTTCAAAGAACCAACTTTTTGTTTCATTAATTCTTTGTATAGTTTTTTTCATTTCTATTTCATTGATTTCAGCTCTTATTTTTATTATTTCTCTCCTTCTGTTTTGTTTTAAGATTTGCTTGTTCTTGTTTTTCTAGGAGTTTGAGATGTATCATTAGGTCATTGATTAGAGATCTTTCTGTCCTTTTAATATATGTGCTCATGGCTATAAACTTTCCTCTCAGGATTGCCTTTGCTGTGTCCTATAGGTTCTGGTAGGCCATGTTTTCATTTTCATTAACTTCCAGGAACCTTTTAATTTCTTCTTTTATTTCATCAATGACCCATTGATCATTGAGCAATGTGTTCTTCAGTTTCCAACTGTTTGCATGTTTTTTGCTATTATTTTTGTTGTTAAGTTCTAGTTTTAATGCATTATGATCTGATAGAATGTATGGTATTATTTCTATTTTCTTATATTTGCTGAGGCTTGCTTTGTGCCCTAGGATATAATCAATTTTGGAGAAGGTTCCATGGGCTGCTGAGAAGAATGTATATTGTGTAGAAGTTGGATGAAATGTTCTGTAGACCTCAGTTAGGTCCATTTGATCTATGATATGATTTAGATCGAGGATTTCTTTATTGATTTTTTGTTTGGATGAGCTATCTATTGGTGATGGGGGATATTAAAGTCTCCCACTAACACTGTATTGGAGTTTATATATGTTTTTAGGTCCTTCAGAGTATGTTTGATGAAATTGGGTGCACTGACATTGGGTGCATATAAGTTGATAATTGTTATTTCCTTTTGGTGTATTTCCCCTTTTATTAGTATGGCATGACCTTCTTTATCTCATTTGATCAATGTAGGTTTGAAGTCTGCTTTGTCCAGATAAGTATTGTTACTCCTGCCTGTTTTGGGGGACCATTGGCTTGGTAAATCTTCTTCCAGCCTTTCATCCTAAACCTATGCTTGTTTCTGTGGATGAGATGGGTCTCCTGTAAGCAACAAATTGTTGGATCTTCCTTTTTAATCCAGTTTGTCTTTTGATGGGGGGAATTAAGTCCATTAACATTCAATGTTAGTATTGATAGGTATGTGGTGATTTCTGTCATTTAGTTGTGTCAGTTGTTTAAGGGATTGATTGTGTGCAACTAAATCGATATTACTCTCTACTTTCTTGCCTTGTTTCTCCTGTAGTTTGGTACTGCCTGCCTTTTCATGGTTTTGTTTGCTTTCACTTTCTGTGTGCAGAATTTCTTCAAGACTCTTTTGTAGTGGTGGCTTGGTTGTCATATATTGTTTTAGTTTCTGCTCATCACAGAAGACTTTTATTGCTCCCTCTATTTTGAATGATAGTTTTGCTGGGTAGAGTATCCTAGGGTTGAAGTTATTTTCATTCAGTGCCCAGAGGACCTCACTCCATGCTCTTCTTGCTTTTAAGGTTTTCATTGAGAAATCTGCTGTGATTTTGATGGTTTTACCTTTGTATGTTGTTTGTTTTTTCTCTCTTATAGCCTTCAATATTCTTTCTCTAGTCTCTGTGCTTGTTGTTTTAATAATAATATGGCATGGGGTAGTTCTATTTTGGTCGAGTCTGTTTGGTGTCCTAGAGGCTTCCTGTACCTGAATGGGCATAGTTTTCTCTAGATTTGGGAAATTTTCTGTTATTATCTTGTTGAATATATTACTAATTCCTTTTGCTTGCACCTCTTCTTCTTCAATGCCCATGATTCTCAGGTTTGGTCTTTTGATAGTCAGTGAATTCTTGCATATTCTTTTCACAGGTCTTGAGTTGTCTGCCTAGCAGTTCTTCAGTTTTTCTTTTAATTTCCATTTCATCTTCAAGTTCTGAGGTTCTGTCTTCTGCTTGTTCTAGTCTGCTGGATTGGCCTTCCATTGTGTTTTGTATTTCTGTTTCATTCTTTTTTCTGAGGTTTTCCATATTATAGGTTACTTCCTCTTTCATATTGTCAATTTTCATCTTGAGTTCATTTTTCTCTCTATTTACGGTGTTCTTTGTTTCATTTTGATGTTTATTCAGGGCTCCTATGGTTTCTTTTATTTGTTCTTGTACTTTCTCATATTCTTTATTTTTGTGTCTTGGAATTTCTTGAGTGTCTCCTGTATATTTTGGTTGACCATATCCAGTATCAAATCTATGAAATTCTCATTGATTACTTGCAGGATTTCTTCTTTCAGACTGTTGTTGTGGGCTTCATTGTGTTCCTTGGTATAGTTTGTCTTTGTTTTGTTGGAGTCTGAATCTGAGTATCCATTTTCTTCATTTCCCTCTGGTTCCTGTACTAATTTGTTATTGGGGGGAAAATGGTTTCCATCCTTTTTCCCATCATTCCAAAATGGAAAATCTTTTTGGTTTTAAATGCCTATGTGCCTTAAATTGATGCTCAACATTTTAACCATAGCATAAATTAATTTGTCGCATTCTTTCTTCTAAACATATCTTGAAGAGATGCTAAGTAAAGACATCAAGTTGCAGAAGTAAGAAGTTAAAGAAGCACACTATTAAGGAAAAGATTATTTGGTTATCCAGAACAAACTGCCTTCTTTATTATTTTACCTAAATCTAGACCAGCTTTCAATTGCTTTTTAATTAGCTGTTGCTCTTTGTCAATCAGATTCCTGGCTAATGTCTTAAGCATTAAACATGAGCTTTAAAAAATGCTCAGTTTCATCATCTATAGATCTTGATGCTCTGTATAGAACAAAAAATTAGTCAAGTAAGATCACAGAATTATATTGAAAGTAGGAACATCTTCTTAACTAACTCAGTCTCAGATAGCTGTATATGACAGGTTGTCCTGTGATTAGTCTCTAGAAATCACTGACTTGCACTCTTCAGAAGGTCCTGATCACATACCTCTATCAGCAGCTGCTGCTGCTGTCACATCTAGGGGAGACTGCAAGAAAGCAGGGGGCAGAGTGCTTTTTAATGTTTATCTAATTTTGACTTTCTTCATTTATTTTTGTCTTGGCACACAAGAAGGTCTTTAATTAGGAGCATTATATATGTTAATGTTTTAAATAAATGAGCATAGAACATTTCTGTTTCTACTGATTGAAACCATATCCTACTGTAGTTATTTTATTTCACATTACATTGGGGGTCTGTTATCAAAACCAGATGTATGCCAAGAAGTGAATCTTTCTTTCAAGAGATGGAACAATTAGATGAGTTGATAGGTCCATTTCAGAAGCTATATGTAATACCTGAGTTTTCTGCCATCCACAAGTTTGTCTCCCTTTGTCTTAAAGGGATAACCCAGCAGCTAAGAAGGCCTGTAGTCATAGAAGTCTGGTAATTGCTGAGTCAGTTCACTTTTGAAAGTCAAGCAAGAATGTCACCTGACCCACAATACAAAATATTTTCTTCCTTCATGCATCTTCTATCAAGGCCTTCAAAGTCCTACTTGCATCTTTTCTTGACTTAAGGCCACCATAACACATCAAGGCTTTCATTTTCTCCTATTCCTATGATTCATCTTTGGCTGGAGGAATTTCTCTTAGTGTTTGTCTTCCATTCCTTCTTCCTGTTTCTAAGTGACTACTTTAGTCCATTTGTGTAGCTATAACAGAATAAGATTAAGTATTTTATAAAGAAAATAAATTTATTTTCTCATTGTTCTGAGACTGGGAAATTTAAGATCAAGGTCTTCTTGCTACATCTTCATATGGCAGAAGGGGGAAGGGTAAGGTGGAACACTGTGTGAAACCTTTTATAAAAGAGCTTTAATCTCTAGTTACCTCTTACAGGCCCCTTCTCTTAATTCTATCATACTAAAAACACATGAATTTTGGAAAGACAGCTTTAAACCAGATAAGTGATTATGATAAAAAATTTCCCAATTAGAGACATCTGAAACACCATCATTCTGTCATGTCTAACTTTATTTTGAGACTAATGTATATTTCAGTGCAGTTCAGTGATATTTCTCTAAGTATCATTTGTGTACTTTTTCATAATTATTAGATTCAGTTAATGATCAAGAACAGAAAATATATCTAATATCTTCTTCCTTTAGCAGTTTCACAGGTACCCAGTGAAACTCATACTTCCAGTACCACAGATGCAATCTCAACATTTCATGGTGAGTACATAGGGAAGGTTGAAGGACATAGAAGGTAGTGATCTTCTTTATTTGCCCACAGGTAGAAAAATAAGAACTGATATAAAGCCAATTTTAGAAAGGTATTTCAAAGTTCATAATGAAAATGACAATGAATGAAACCAAAATTAGTCCCAGGCACTAAAAGAAGATAGAGACAAAGCTTTATACTTTTTCTCTATTCTATTTCAAAATGACATCTACACAATTGCATTTTTCATCAGTTATGTCCATGAAAAATGCATTTCAATTTTTAACTTTCCATTGGAAATAGAATGATTAGTCAACATGGATTTGCCTTCTTCTAATGTTGCAAAGGAATCTTTAGTGACCTTCTCAAATGCATTGGAGTAGAGAGAATATCAGTATTTTGATCAACTGAATCTTTGTTATTCTGCAAGGACACAGACAGGGCTTTATCTTTCCATTACCTCATTTATGGAATTTTGCCACACATGACACCACTTAAAATTTTTCTTGGAGATTCTTTAGCAGATATTGTTTTGCTACTTGGAAGTGTGTAGCATCTCCTTTTTTTTAACCAATAGGAAATTTCACTCATTTGATAGCTATTATATCCCAGTCTTGCTGCACATTTGTCCTTAGTAAAAGAATTATATTGAAGATAAGAACATCTTCTTGATCTAGTCAGACTCAGCAGAACTATGTTAAGGTCATTCATATTGAGATGTTTCCACTAGTACATGAAACTCAATTATATCATTTGATCATATTGAAATGACTATTAGAATAAATTCAGACATTCCCTTTATATCTCTAGATGATGTCTTCACTAGCACAACCAGAGAATTTTCAGAAGTCCCCACAACTGCCAATGGAGCTACTAAAAACAATCACAACCACATCACCAGTGAGTCACTTGTCTTTGGGGGAGGATTTTATATTTTGTTCATTCATCAAGTGTTTATTGAGTACCTTACCAGGTATGCACCATTATTGGGTGTACAGTGATGACCTTGACCTCCTGAAGACTATAATCTATTAGAGATGACATAAATAAGTAAATAATCATATAATTAAATTTCTATCACTATGATAAGGTATTGTCAGAATCTAACAGAAAGACCTGATTTAGAAAATGCTCTTAATATATATTTAAATTAAAATATGAAAAATTAGTAAGATTTAGCCAGGTGAGGGTTGGCAGTGTGGCTCACGTGAAAGAGCCTAACAAGTATGAGGCTCTGAGTGCAAACCCCAATACCACCACACAAAAAATAATTATAATTAGCCTGGTGAAAAATAGCAAGATACATTTCAGGCCTCTCAAAACACAACTTGAGGCAAGAAAAAGATTGTTGGAACAAAGAAGTTGTCCTGTGATTTGACTAATAAGATGTTGTCAGTGCCAAATGTAGCCCTTTATTTTATATCAGAGAGCAAGAGATTAAATAAAGTTAGAACCCTTTCAATAATAGTTATGGTTCTCAGTTCATAGGCATAATCAACTCATTCACTTCAGTCACTTGACTGGTGAAATCTCCACCTGGAGAGTCACATCTTTTCATATGAAAGGTCCTATAGTCTTCAGATCATTGGGGCATCATCATATAGACATTATTGCAATGGAGCTGCAAACTAAGGTCTTACTAGTATCTTTAAGATATTCACTATCATTAAAGAACTGCCGAATTTAGAAACAGACTAGATTGGAGGTCTGCTTCTCCACCGAGACATTCTTAAGGCAATACTCTTAATTTATTGGCATTGAAGTAAAACCTATTTAAAACCTTTTCGTCTTTCATTTCTCCAAAATTTTGTATGTAAAGTGTTATAGTTTGCTGTACTACCAATGTACAGCAGAGTAAAGTTTGACCTGATTCAACAGAACTTCATTCAGTCCTGAATTGGCCATCCCCTTTGTAAATCATGCTACTCTAGAGGTTTGCTCTGTGAATTCCCGAGTTACTATATAGACAACATACAACATGGCAACATATTGTAGGACTCCATGAACTTCCCAAGTACCCTCAGTAACTCCTTCTACAAGCTGGAGTAAGGTGAACATCAGGAAGACCTCAACTCCCAAATGTATGTTGCATGAAAAGGACAAATATTCAGCACTGACGGTCAGTGATAACATGATAGTATCATATGGCTGCAGTACGAACTACATAAACATACAAAAGATTTCATGACTAATAATTTTTTACAGTGCTGGGAATTGAATCCAGGGTCTTGCACATACTAGATAAGTGTTCCACTACTGATTTATATCCCAGCCCCTCATAACAAATATTCTAATCAGTTCTTTGTCTTATTTTTGAGGCTTTGCTGTACTAAAGATCAGTAATAAAAACTGGGCAATAAAAGAAATTAAAAGTTTGTCTCTACTTACAGTTTACCATCTAGTTGAAATAATGGTAAAAATCAATGTAAATAACTGTTGCCAAAATGATCTATGTAATCTAATTATTTAAAGATATATCTATGATGTATAAGAAATCTCATTGGATGTTGTTAGAAATAACAAAAGCTTGAAATAACTCAAGCATATTGCATTAAGGGACTGATTACATAATCCACATTAGATCCATTAGATAATTAAGCAGTCATTTAATAGAATGAAAATAGTCCCTATGCACTGCTACAGAGAGGATTCCAAGAATGTTTTTTAAGGAAAGGGGCCAGGGAAAGAATAGTGTGTAAGTATGTCCTCATTTGTTAAAAAAAAGGGTGAATATTCATCATATGAATATATATATGCTAATATAGTCATAGAAAATTGCTGCTATGATACTTAATTATCAAGTCATTGTCTCTTAAGTAACTTTTTACATAAGAAGACACAGGCATGCCCTCAAAGTATCATCATAGTCAATGAACACTCCCATACCCTTGGAGAAAACATGTTTCAAGTTGGAAAAACAGTTTTCATTTTGTTTATTTTGCACTATTGGGGATCAAACCCAGGGCCTCATAGATGCTAAGCAAGCACTCTACCACTGAGCTATATGCCAGCCCTAGAGAGTTTAATTGATCCTTTATTTCCAGATGGCAAATTTGGCTCTAAAGTTCGTTTCTCTTTATGCTCTTTCAGGTACTGTGGTAAATAAGCCCAAAGATCGGGATGTCCTGGCCAGTGATTATAGCAGTTTTGCTGTTTTTCTGCTTGGTATTGTTTGGACTTGGAGTAAGAAAATGGTGCCAGTACCAAAAAGAAATGTAAGTAGAATGCTAAGATATGTAGGAATGGATACTTTTTCCTTATAAAATATTTCCATAGTGCAAAACAATATTACAATATGGCATTTTCTCATATTTTAAGGAGCAAACAAGGCTCACAGCCTAGAGGCCGTATACCTTTCCCAGCTTCATATGGTCGGGACTGAGCACACAACTCCTGACTGTGTAGCCCTCTCTGCATTAGCCTGCTCAGATTATAGCACTCATCAAATGGAGCAAGTCAATGGGCATAAAATGAGAAGTGAGCCTCACCTCACCTCAAAACTAAAACTGATTTTTCTTCTAATCTTTATTATTTTTTTTTTTCATTTCATGCATCTTTGAGCCACCTGGGCTCAGCTGGGCCCAGATGCTCAAGTGTGAAATTGAGTGAGAAAGGTAATTTTAAGAGGTTTCCAGCTGCTTTTCATCAGAGTGGACTTTCACTGTCCTTTTCCTTTTTTCCCAAGGGGAAAAGAAAGTTGCTTGGGTTTCCTCCTTTTTTGTCTTGTTGAAATGTTTTCCAAAGCTCTTCTCCATGCAGCAGTATGAAGTAGCATGTAAAGTTAAGAGTCTCTTTTCTGACACAGGTACTTTCAATGAGTCTGAGTTAGGCCATGATTACAGAAAACTCCATAGCACACACAACTCATCTGTCATGCTTACTATGCCATCTGATATAACAATCACCATTGCACAACATACTCTTCTACCTGTTGCAGAATATCCTTGAACACTCTATAACCATGTGCAGGTAGTGTTTCATGGTGAATTAAACACTAAACCAGTGGTTAGAAATTCTGGGGTTTTACCCAAGAGCTACAGCTTGGCCACTATTTGACCTTATGGTATTCATAATTTCTCTGAAAAAAAAAAAAGTAAAAATGTCTTAGAATTTTATCTACCTTTTGATATATTTTAAACCTCCTGTAAAATATCCAAAAGCCAGGTAGTAAGGATTTAGAGAACTTTATACTAATGAGCACATTGGAGTTGGAAAATCTGAACTGATTTTTTTTAATCATTATTTATTCAAATGCTTGTGTTATATAGAAAAAAAGAAAGGTCCCCCACCTCAACTCATGCTACAGATTGCCAGATCATGCAGGTTATTTGGGTCATAGATATAAAGATACTCACAGATATATTTCCATCAAGATAACTAGAACATTTGTGAGTGTAATCCCCACACAAACCTGGATGTTTGATTCATTTCAGAGATGAACTGTGCCTACATGAAATAGTGCTTTGTTCAAAGACATATGTAAAACTGTTCACTGATTCAGACGAAAGGGATTTAGGGATTGTCTAGCCAATGAACTCAAGGGTTCAGGTTAGGAGAAACTTTACTTCGCACCCTACCTTAACCTCACAGTAGCCATGAGTACGTGAGTAAAGACTGGGGTTAGAGGTGACACACCCAGTGCAAGGTGAGAAACTTCAGTCTTAAGTCCCTGAATTTTAAGTTTTTTTTTTTTTTTCCTGAGGAATGTTCTAATCCATGTAAGAGAAAAATTCCCTCCATACAGAGGCAGTGGCCATGGGTTAGAAGACTTCAATTATTGATCTGGTTTTCTTAAGTAAGCAAATAAAACCTCAGTTTTTACCTGTTGAATGGTGACAATAATACTTAATTCCTAAGTACAAAAAATGTCTAATAAAACTAATAAGCACAAAGTTTAAACTAACAAAAATTAGTTTTTAAATTTTTTATTAGGATATATTCATTGTACAGGGGGGATTCATTGTGACAATTCCAAATAGGCTTATATTGTATATTGGCTAGATTGCCCCCAGCCATCTCTCCCTCTCAATCCCCTCTCTGTCTTAATTCAAGAGTGTCTTTGTTTTATTCGCATATAAGTATATGAAGTATGTAAGAGAAAAATTCCCTCCATACAGAGGCAGTGGCCATGGGTTAGAAGACTTCAATTATTGATCTGGTTTTCTTAAGTAAGCAAATAAAACCTCAGTTTTTACCTGTTGAATGGTGACAATAATACTTAATTCCTAAGTACAAAATAAATAATTCTAACATAAAAATGCTTTGAAAACTATAAAATACCACATAAATATTAATTAGTGTTGAAATCATGATACCCAAATGTCTAATAAAACTAATAAGCACAAAGTTTAAACTAACAAAAATTAGTTTTTAAATTTTTTATTAGGATATATTCATTGTACAGGGGGGATTCATTGTGACAATTCCAAATAGGCTTATATTGTATATTGGCTAGATTGCCCCCGCCATCTCTCCCTCTCAATCCCCTCTCTGTCTTAATTCAAGAGGTGTCTTTGTTTTATTCCATATAAGTATATGAAGTCCATCCACCATATACCCTCACCTTAATTTCCTTTATTCATCCGCCCCCTCCCAGAAGTACCCCCCCACACACACACTGTACCAATTTTACAGTCCTCTACTTCAATATTAATATTTAAGTTGATGTTCTAAGGGGTTTCTCAATGTGTCCCTGCTGTGAGTCTACTTTACTTTGGTCCATTCATCCCTTTCCATTGCTCTCCCTTACCCTTTTACCTCCCACCCCCCATTTTTCAATAGCTTTCATTGCATAACATATCCTTATATCCTATACCTAAATAGATGTTATACTTTATGATATTGTTGATTATCATTCTCTTTTCTTTTCCTTCCTTCTCCAAGTTCCATAGAGTAGTTTCACTACTACAAACATGTTCTACACATGAGTTTGTATATGATCATGTTTGTTTTTGTGTGTATGTTTATCTTTTTTTTCTGTCTTCAACATATGAACCAAAACATGCATAAACCAGCAAAAATTCTGGGAGAACTGAAGGATGTACCTTTCTCACAAATATGTCTCCTACCTTAAAAAAAAAAGAGGCATCTCACATTCTTAACATTGAAAGAGCAATGTTTTATTCCTAGCATGGAAAGACCCCCACCTTTCAAGCCACCACCACCTCCCATCAAGTACATGTGCATTCAAGAGCCCATTGGAAGTGATCTACCTTGTCATGAGATGGAGACGCTCTAGTCCTTTGAGACTTTTCCACACAGCAGAGCTCTGCTAAAATCCTATTGAGAAGGTAGACGTTATATTTTATTAATATAATAGCCCTCCAGCCAAGCCTCTGCTGCAGCTGAAATGAATGTCAGAAGTGAAAAACCTGTTTTGTCAGCAACTTGCCCTCTTCCATCTGCATGTGTCTGAGATCTAAGCAAGATTGAGAGGATATAGCAGTGCACACACCCAACGTACATTGTAGGGGTTTTCTTGCTTATGTTAGAGGTGCATGTTAGGCTGCTGTCACTTAAAAATAACTGCATTGTTTTCATTTTAATTTACTGAGTGAGGAAACAACTGTGATTTCAATACATGCCCATACCAAATCTTCCTTTTTTTTGGATATTTTCCAACATCTTCAATTAATTGCCAAAGATATGATGCTCTCTGCCTTTTCTCACATTCCCCAAGAAAATTATAAGAAGAAAACATGAAAATTCTAGCAAGAGTTCCAAATATTAGGGAAGGACAGCTAGTCTTCATATAGAAATTCTGTTGTTTATTTGTACTGAGGGAAAATAGAATACCCTGCATAAGAACTACATTTCCAATCCTGCTTCACCCTTCCTCATATCATGTTCAGCCCAGACTCCTGCCACATGGATCAGTATGAGGACTGATCAGAGATAACTAGCCAACAACCAAGTAGTTTACCAGATACAAGTTTTCACTGGCCCCTACAACTGTGAGTTGGGAGTGATTTTATCCTCAGCTTCGCCTCTGTGTGTGGTGTGTACATTTGTGTACCATCAAATGGCTACCCTACTATTATGTAAGTAGCCAGGCAGTCTAACTCCAGTCTAACTCATCTAATCCCCATTATTCTCATTTTCATGTGGGGACTTTCCTGTTCATCCAACCTGCCTGTTTTGATCTGTCTTGAAACAGACACAAGAGTCATATTAGCACTGAGGAATTAAGACTGCTCCTAACAATCTTTTACAAAACAGTTCAAGCAGAACAGGTGATAAAGAAATAATCTAGTTAGCCAGACATGTTCTGGATTTGGCAACAGTTTGTTAGAGAATAAATTACTGCTCTTCCTTATCCGCTCAAACCCTCCCACACTCCTTGCCCCAGGAGAAAAGAACAGATGTTGTTGACAAGACATAATGGTAGGCAAATTCTGTGTGGACCTTAAGTCCCCAAAGGAATCTTTTTGTTCACTGACAGTGTCCTTATCCCTGACTGCATATAAAAATAATTTACAGTTTTTTTTAATGCCATGGTTGTCCCTCTCCTGACCAATTAAATCAATGTCTCTGAGGGGTGAGGCATAGACAGCACCTCTCTTGGATGATTCGTGTCATTCGCCAAAGTGGAAAATTACTGACCCAGTGTAAGTCCACTCACTAATCAGAAACTTAATCAGGTACTTAGTTTTTGTGGTGGCCAGCTCTAAGATGACCTCCAGTGATTCTTGCTTCCTGCTACTCATACCCTATTCAATCTCCTCCAACAGCAAGTGCAGCTGACTTGTATAAACCAGGGTCAGGATTAAGGTGAGGCAAGTGAACAAGTAGAAGTGAAGGAGCTAGTCACACTCGGGGTCATCCACTTTCACAATCTTGAGAATAATTGGCCTATCCGTGGTATAACCAATAAGATGCTGAAGAAATGGCCAGAGTGTGGCTTCCAAGACTTGATAATAAAATATATTGTAATTCCCACCATCATCTCTCTTTAATCACTGGCTCTAGAGAAAGCCCTTTTCCTTGTCATAATGAAAGCAGCTCTATTGAAGTCCTCCTGTCAAGGAATTGGAGCCTCTCACAGCAATCATAAACCTGCCAGCCCTGTAAGGGAGCCATCTTGGAACCAAATCCTCCAGTCAGGTCTTCAGAAAACTACAACCTTGGTTTTAATCTTTTGGCTATGACCTCACAAGAGTCAGAACAAATCACCCAGCAGAGCTTTCTGTAAACTTGTGATTCATGGACACTAAAGGGTGTAGGAGGTGAATATGATGGAAATATTATGTACTCACGTATGAAAATGCAAAAATGAGACCTGTTGAAACTATTCTTGGAATGGGGGGAGGAGGATAAAGGAGAATTATGGAGGGGGTGAATTCAACTATGATATACTATAAGAACTTTTGTAAATGTCACAATGTACCCCCAGTATAATAATAATATGATAATTAAAATGTACATAAAAGAGAATAAATGCTTACTGTTTAATGCCACCAAGTTTGAGTATAATTTGTTGCATAGCAATAGATAAACAATGCAACTCAATAAATGGAAAAATAAACTGATGTTTGCCTGCTTTCCTTATCTTTAATTCATTAATTCTTAAGTAATAAAGCTTGTTTCACATATATAACTGTTGCTTCATTTTCATAGTTATTTTTATTTACTACAACTTAATCATAAGTTATTTTCATAAAAGCTATTATAGACTTATTTTATTGTTTCATTGGAGACCTGAATACAAGTTGAGGTATCAGGGTAAAAAGTAGTAGGGTTGACTAGCACTCACCATGTACTAGTTATGTGAGAAGTTTTGTTTCTTGAGATAAACGTCCAATGATGCAAAAAAAAAAACAAAAGTAGTAGGGTCGGAGATATATGAATTGTTTCAGCAAAGGGAAAGACAGTCTTACGTTTAACATAAGTTCATATAATTTTTAAATCACATAACAGGTATCTCTCACAGAGTCTGTCTTCTTTCCTTTTTTATTTATATACATTTCTTGAGCTAGGATCTGACTATGTAACCCAGACTGGCCTCAAATTCACTGTCTCTTCCTGCCTCAATCTGCTATGTGCTGGGATCACAGTCATGTGCCACTGTGCTTAGCTTATATTAGCTCTTATTTGAAGGGCTTTATTTGGTCTTATTCAGTCTTGTAAGTTCTGGTCAGCATTTACAATTTTTTCTGCCACTTGAATGGAGTGAGCAGTTGCTTACTTGTGGAGGGAGGCTCAATAAGTGTTTCTTATAATCCTGTAAAATAGAGGGACTCCCCAAGCCTTTCAGGTAGTGCTGTGAACTTGAAATCCCCCCACTGAGCAAAATGGTGGTATCACCTACACCTTAAATTGTTTGCAAGAAAATTCATACAGCTTTTCTCAAAACAGCAGCTCCTCTGTCTAGAAATGGATTCAGAAGCCACATGTAAGCATTATATCACTCATTTCCAAAGCACTCTTATTAGATAACATTGCTGCTTATAAATGGCAATTTTCTCACCTCTTATACCATGAGCACACCTTGACATTGAACTTGGCCATGTAACTTGTTTTGAGCAATAGAATATGGTGGACATAACTAACCCAAGGCTGGAAAAAATGATTGTAGGAGAGGCCTATTCGTGTTCTCTGCCATTACCATGTGAAGTTTTCAGTCTAACCCACTAGTACCAAGAAGATGAGAGACTCATGGAGTAGAACAAAACCACTCAACCCAAGCCCAGTCTAGATCAGCCAGCCCCTGACATATTACTGGCTTAACAGGTGCATAAATTCAATATCATACACCACAGAAATTTTGTGATTGTTACACAGCATTATTGTAGCAATAGTTAAGGAATAAAGTGTCTACTTCAATCAAAAAGAGCCTTTTCTTTGATTTAGCATGAGTTTTGCTTAAACTGAAGAAGATGTGGCTGGCTTCATCAATTAACTTTGCATTATAGCTCTTTAAAATCACAGAAAATTTGGCCAGGATTAGTAACAGAGGTCATTTTGCAAATAAGGAGTTGAGGCTCTATGAAATTGACTTACCTAAGGTCATACAACTGGAAGCAATAGAATCAAAATGGTGACCTAGCTTTGGTTCCTATCTTGGGTGTGATCGGTCTTTGACTGCTTTGACGCCTCTTGCCTCTTTCTACTATAGACAAGAACAATCTTGTGTGCATTTAAGTACACATTTATTTTTTTTTAATTCCTAGGTAATATATTCCAAAATTGTGACAGAAAACAGAGAAAAGCAGAAATAATCTCTGAAGGTGGATGGCCTACAAAGTACATAAAAATGACTAGAAAATGAAAAGAGATATGATAATGATTAAAATCAGAATCTGTAAAGAAATTTTAGAGAAACTTTCCAAGGCCTGAGATAATGTAACAATGCTTCTCAGAGGCACTGAGCACAGCAAGAGATTCTTTACCCAAGGTGCTGAAGACAGCCCTAGGCCCTCTGACTTAGGAAAATGGCTTTGGCTTGAACCTGAAGCTGAATGTGCAAAAATACAGAAATTGTTCTCTGAGAGAGAACTGAAATGCACCGTGTTACTGAGTTTCCCACAATAGCAATCCTGACTATGCCCATCAGCTAAATGATGAGAGTCCAGCAAAGACAGTTGCAATGATGAGCGGAAGTCACCATCACCTGGGAGACGAAGACACACCAGAAATGGGCTGTTGTTGAAGCTAGAAATGCAGAGCAGTTTATTTCCCAGCTCCTGCAAAGGGGCTTTTTTTCTTGGATTTTGTGATTATGAACAAAGCTCTGTGCTGCATCTAGGAAGGCCTGAGCAGAGTGAGCAGGAAAATGTAACCTTAGGCAAGGTCAGGGCCAGAAAAAACTTTGGAATTATTCTTAAACCCAATCTGGTGCAATTGTATAAAATTAATTGGGTGGAAATTAACACTGAAAAACAACAGAACCTAAATTTCTCTTCACAACCAGCATCTTTTCAATCTCTTTGCCATTTCTCACTCAGATTTGCTCAAAGCCTCTGTGAGATTGTAATTATAGGCAGGAAAGTAACGAGGAAGAGTAACAAACCCAATATCATTACCTGAAGAAGAGAACATGGATGGTTCAGCAACCAGATGACCTTGGTAAATGCCAGAAACCTCGGCACATTCGGGTTGAATTTTGTTAGAAAATTCCTACTTACTGTCCAAAGAAGACATACCACCAAATAAAACTGACCATGGTATCATGCAGTTTAGCTATTACCAGAAAAATAATCAAATGTACTGGGAAGGCAGGTGAAGAGAATTGGGACAACAGCTATGTGAATTCTGAAGAATTTGATAGTAGACCTCACAACCTCAGGACATTGTACAGGAGTTAACCTCTCTATTTTGTGCTTTCTTTCTCCAAAACATAAACATTTGTCCAGGATGTATGGGAGGATGAACAGGGATTTGAGAATTCTGTCTATAGCAGAACCATTTTTGCATCACTAGTTTGGGATAAGCAAGATTCTGCTCTTACAAGTAATTCAGTTGCGGTGGGTTTTTCTTTACATAAAGCTATTGCACTGATTCAAA